TCGATTTAAATCTCCTAAGTGAGTGTAATTTTTGTCACAAACAGTTTACACAGAAATCACATCTAAATCAACACAAAAGTGCTGTTCATTTGAATGAAAAGAAATTTATATGTAATGAAGACAATTGTGACAAAAATTACACTCACTTAGGAGATTTAAATCGACACAAAATATTGCACACTGGTGAAAAATCATATATTTGTCAATTCAATGATTGTCACAAACGGTTTGCTCTAAAATGTGGTTTAAATCGACATTTAAGACGTCATGTAATATAATGTATTATATCTCATTTAAAGCAATAAAGTTTTATAAATAAATTACTTTCATTTATTTTGGTTTGTTTATTATAAAGATCAAAATCAACTATTTTAAATAGTGAATTATGTAATTTTAAACTCACTACCTCCATCAAACTAATATTAAATTAGTAATCTATTTGTTATTAATCTAATTAATCAACTTTATATAAATCTATGGAGGGTGATCACGGGTAGGTCCCAGAGCAGTTACAGTTTTCAGAGAGAGAGAGAGAGAGAGAGAGAGAGAGAGAGAGATTTATTGCCATTAGTCAGAAAATCAAACGATTCCCGGATAATAATGGGCACAACAAACGGAATCACATTATATTTCAGCAGGATCAATTTACGCACTTTTCACTTGCCAAACAATGGTTATACTGCAGCCCGCGCGCACATTAATACTAAACTGGCCATGGTGTTATTTGCCAAAGAGCTAGCTAAACGATTACAATCATCCGGAATCAGCAATGTTAAAACGTACTCAATTAACCCGCGAATTATAGATAGTAGACCAGGGGAAGATTCTGATATATCTACCAATAAACTGTTCAGATATTTTAAGACCTTGTTTATGTTGCCAGCTGATATGGGACCGCAACCCTACTTACACTGTGCCCTGGATGATGCGCTCGCAAATGAGTCTGGTCACTTTTATGAGTATGTAATTTGTACAATTAGAATTTAATTAGAGGGTCATTTACTATTTTTAGAATGATCAAGCTAAATTGATGTTTATTTATATTTATAGTAACTGCCGGCGCGTGGACTGTATGACTGGTCAGGCATTTAATGATAGGACTGCCCGTGATTTATGGCACTTAAGTGTCGATTTAGTTAACCTCGAGTCCCAGTACAAACTTTAATGATGAACATGATGATTTATAAATACAATTTGTTTGTTAATTATTAATATTTATTATTTAATATTTAAAATATATTGCCATGCTAATTAATTATATAATAACCAACAATTAATTAAATTTATTTGTTATTGTATATTATGTTAGAGAAATATAATATTAAATTGAAAATATTCATAAAGTTTAGCATTAGTTATTTAGAGTTAAAATTAATAAATTAAAATAAGTGTATATTTATTAGACTAAATATTTGTTCTGTTTAAAGTTTAAACCGAGACCTCAAAAATATTAAAAAACAATAAATTTCTAGAACATATTTTATTTATTTCTTATAGATAATCAGTAGATAAAGCTCTTTACAAACACAAATATCATTACTATTTTTACTTATTCACAGTCACCTGTAAATTTGCAATTTCTTACATTTCTATATTGATTTTGAGTCGAGAATTATAGTTTTAAAAAATATGCACATACTTATAATTAATAGTTTCTAATAATACTACCCCATAAGTTAGTAGATATTTAACTATAAAAATACTAAAATAAATGGTTTATTTAAAAATTACAGTTTATAATTTTCAGTTAATATTTATAACTCTCACTTACATTAAGTGTTACTATATTTGTGAGCCAAACATTTGAAGGATATTAAAAATGTTTGATTCCAAGGGGTCATGTTTTGAGGAGTCTGGTTTAGACTGTTTGTATAATTAAAATTTGTAATTGACACAAAATTTTGCATTAGTTTAAAAAAGCTTTTTTTATCATTTCACTGATTGTCACTAAAGGTTTACTCAAAATATTGGATATTTTTATTTTACTTGCGTTTCTATATTTAATTTTTAGAACTTCCGTAATATATTAGTTTATAAATTTGAATAAAATTAAAATTACTTGAAATTTATAAATTTTAGAATTAATAACTAATATGTGTTATATTTATATCATTATTTCATAGGCTATATTTTAAAAATATTTTGTAAAAATATTTAGTTTTATTAATTATAACTGTATCAAAATGTTTATAAACACTGGTTAAAATGTTGTATCAATAAAAATTATAATATAATAATTAGTTGACGTGTAGGTAGTTAAATGGAAAACTACTTTTAGCAATGTAGAATTATTTTCTAGTTTAAAATTATTACTTTAAATTACAAAATTAAAAATATTAAATTTTTATTATAGTTATATAAATATTAAAGTAAATATAAAATAAAGAAAATCTGGTATTGATTTCAAAAATAAGAAGTCATAAATGGGTCGACCGTTGAAAATACCAACATATCTGGAGATAATTTAGAGATTAGTCTAAATCACAGATAATAACTCTCACTTACATTAAGTGTTACTATATTTGTGAGCCAAACATTTGAAGGATATTAAAAATGTTTGATTCCAAGGGGTCATGTTTTGAGGAGTCTGGTTTAGACTGTTTGTATAATTAAAATT